GAACAGTGTCAACACTTTAAGCTGTACTTTTCCCCACAGAGAAACAAACGTGTTTACAGCCTGTTTTTAAAAGCCTTTTTATAGTATTCAGGCTGAGAGTTATTCACAGTTAGGGGCGGGGCTGATTTGACTGATGTGCATGCCTGTTTTGCAGGCCCGCCTCATCCTCATCTCTTTGCCTTGTTGTGAGGTAGACTGAAGGTAAGGTAGAGACAGCATTTCCAACATGGCGACCGCCAACACACTGGGCTTCAAAAAACCAACTAAGTCCATGTTTTATACAGTCTGTGGTTTCAATATTTAACTTTATATTTCGCTGGAAGTCGATGGTAAAGATAATGTTCTCCCTGATTTCTGCATGTTCAGGATAGCTTTGAGAGACCTTCCTGGAGGGCGTTACAACAAGAAAGACACAGTCAGTATTTAATATAAGATTATGATCACGTGTTCCAAGTTTAATATAGCATTATTCATGTGAGAGACTGCATTGTTTTATTCGGCCGAGATGCCAGCCCTAAACATCAACGAGAGTTTTTTTCCTGCTCTCAGAGTCTCAACTGTTCCTGGATGCATTATTGTGGATTCTGTCTGCCTACATGGCCACAGGGCAGCGCTGAGAAAAGCCGACTTTGTGCACATAGCTGTCTCCTTACGTCATGCTGAGGCTTATGGGAAACACTCCTATGCATTCCCTGGAGTGTCTGACTCTTGTGTGTGCGTTTCAGTTGTTACATCTGTGTGTCTCTGTGAACATGAACATTTTGAAGTCATGTAGATCTTTGTGAATCCACTTGTCGAGCGTCTCAGTCGTCAGGGCTTTTACACATGGGAGACCAACGACGACAGACACAACACAGAAAAGTGACTCCCCCTCCTCCTCCTCCTCCTCCTCCTCCTTTCTTGTCTCCCTTCTAATTTTTACGAGGCTGTGTGACGCAGTTGGGTTCAGCCTTCTTTTTTGGGCTGTATATTTATCGTCTTCCTGTTGGTGCACACAGCTCACCTCTCTGTTTTCACACGAACTGTCAGGACGACGTATTGTCAGTTTACACGATGACAGAGGCCTCAGAAACCCAACGAAAAACTGTGATGGTGAGAGGACTAATTCTGGGGCAAAGGACCGGTGGGTAAAACGATGAATAATGGTTCCCAGTCTCCACCCAGCAACTGAAAAACCACCATCTCTCCTTGTAAAAGATCAAACAGAGAACTTAAACTCTACACATCTCCATCTTCTCTTCTCATCGTCCATGAGCCTCCTGAGGGCCAAAACAACAGAAAGAGAAAACTATATGAACTGCCATCAGACACAACGGTACTACCACTTCTCTGCACTCTTTTCAGGAAGTGTGGTGAGGTTAGGCTGGATCTGTTTGGCTCAGATTGTAACACCCTGCGTGTTTCAGAGCGGGTGTCACACTTCTGCATCTGTTTAGTGTCTAAGTTGTCGAGGACACATGAATGCAGGAATCAAACCGGGTATAAGTGTCGCCCTAGTACAAAGCTTTTTTTCTGCAGTCAGGATTATAAAGCTGCACTTAGGAGGCATAATTAAACACTGACCGAGGCTCATTTTACTACCTACACGTGCTGGAGTTTATGACTTAAAGAGACGACGAGCTGATAAAGAAACAGTCAGTGGACACGTTCACTTTGTGTCCAGAGAGAGATGTGAAATATGAACGTTTAGGGTTATTTATTAGTTTGTAATGAGTGCAATCCTTAAGTGATAGATAAGATTGAGTTTTGGTTTAACTGGTGAAATATTTGCACATTAGCTGATGACAAATGATTTGTTGTGGTCGAGTTACTTCAGCTTAAGCGACAGGTAGACTGAAAGTAAACCAACACACCTGGATAATGCCGTCGGGGCTTGATTTACTCTTGCGTTTATACAGAACCGAACTGGACTCTGGGGTTCTGCACATGATCCACAGTTCCCATGCAGGGCTTTGAAACACATTAATAAATAGAAGATAGTAGGGCTGGGAATCTTTGGGTGTGTCCCGATTCAAAGTCTCAATTCAAAGTCTATTTATGGGTTGAGCTAGCCTTAGCACTTAGCAGGAAGTGACTGATTAACCAAAAAAATAAATTGATTTTTTGAAGTTATGAATCTATTTAAAATCTCAGCAGATAAGAATCTCCATTTTTAAACAAAACAAATTTTTTTCCCCACCTCTAGAAGATAGGTCTGTGCTTAAAAATACATCGATGCAGGTTTTACAGAATCAATATGGCTGCAAAGCGCTGATGGTAGGCTAGAAAGACACATCACGTATGGTGCAGTTCACATTAAAGCCATTAGGTGGCACTAAGCCGGACTACACGATCCAGCGAATGTTCAATTTCAAAACATTTTCATGGTTATTTTGGTCATCATCCATACAAAATCAATGTGAATCGTGATGTATCGTATCAACGGGGTTGTAGAAGAAAAGCCGAGACGAAGGTATCGACACGGCGAGTGATAGAGCGAGGACATGTACAGAGCTTTAAAGGTGTCCATGTTGTCACCATTGGACATATAACCAGTTTGCCACTTGCCAACTGGTTTGTTGATTGTTTTGTATGTGACGTCATAGGTCAACTGGAAGAAGGTCCAATAGTAATGAGCTGGAACTGGAAGCGATAGACAAGACTCTCCTCCAGTGCCTGTATACTGGGACAAGGAGAGTGGTGCAATGAAATGACGAGCTATAACCGTAAATTTACTCAACTGTGTATGTAAACGACCTGAGTGTGAATCCACACAAGAGCCTGAATCATAACAGAAACAAACTATAAATAATAAACTTCACACGTGGCTCATTTGTTTGTCTGATGTATGAAAGGTCAAGTATGGGTGAAACGAACGTGGGCAAACGAGTTCTGCGAAGTGTTTAGTCAGCATGTCAGAAAACCGCACTAACACACAAACACAATATGAGGAACTCAGGTGGTGAATGTGACTTTTTCTTCTGGCTAGCTGTATCATTTCTACCAGCCTGTTTTAGCTGTTTAAAACTCAAACGGACTCCTACTGTGGTCCCACTTCTGCATTTTCTGATCCTCCCTTCGCTGCTATAAATTACAGGGTATATCAGTGCTACCTCGTCTCCTGTTTCACTGCCTGACCTCTCATATCTGCCGAGTGATATCACAGTTCCTACAGTGCAAACAAGAATATTTGATTGCAGGAGAACCAACAGAAAAACAAACAGCTGCATGAACACACTGACACCTGTGATTCTGTAACTTGCTCTGCTCCTCATGTGGATTAATAAGGTTACCCACATCTTTTGACACTCTAAAATGTTCAATATCACATGTTACAAACAATAGGACGTGCATTGTTTTCATGCTACAAACACACAGAAGCTGAAAAGAGCTTAGATTGTCAGTCATATTTTTAACCAAAAGCTGTCACAAGCGAAAGAGAGCAGAGAGAGAGAGCACTGTCTGAACTGCAAAAATACGTTGGTAACATTTGCATTTGTGCAATTTAGACAATGTGCAGGAGTTCGCTTGCAATGTTTAGTCAATGAAAGAAAGAAATTGCCCAATATTTTGTGCTTCGGCTTCTTTTTGGGTTGCTTAGTTATAAACAGGTTAACACAATACCCGATACGATTCTGGTATTGTGACAACTTTACAGCTGACACAACATACTTCCCTGATCTTTAATGCAATAAATATAAAGAAGAAGTTTAACTTGATAGTGTCACTCTTACATGACTTTGAAGAGAAGACTGAGGACCGACTGTTGTTCAGCCTTTATGCTAGATTTAAGTAAATGATCTTCTACCTGAGCACACACCTACAGTACCCTGTTAAAATAGCAAGGTTAGCCGTCTTTCTGTTTGCTTCTGCGCTGATGAACAAACAACGTCTCATGGGAGTTGGGAATGGTGTGTGTGTAAAGTGCGTTGTTTAACAACAAACAACCACTATTGTGCCTGTGTGAACCTGCTTCTACTCTCTGTATCACCACACACAAACACTTTGGAGGCACGCAGCCGGACTAAAGGACATCATGGTAAAATGTCGTGAGGACCACGGCTCGAGCGCTCTGCAAAAGATAAATTCTCCAAAAACCAGAGCGTGTGCCCCATCATACATTATTAACACGAGACAAACTATCCATTTCTAATTCAACTAAGTGGCTGGGGGTTCCTCACAGCGGTGTCCTGGGGTCACTGAAGCTTCCTGGGACACCTCAGAGGAGACACTCGGATTTAAATCTGGAATATTTCACCCAACAGAAGTAGAGGCATCAACAGGTAGTCCTGTTAATGGCACTTTTACCCAAACGAGATTAAGTTTGCCAAAATTTTGACTCTCTCCGATACGCTCCGATATCTAATGTTTTAAATCAATACAAGATCTGTTATTTTAGTAATAAATGGTATCAAAAGGAATAAAAACTACAGATCTTCAGTCATAAATTTTATAAAAATCTGCCGCAAGAAGTTTGTCAGGAGTTTGACTGCAAATTTGGGGTAATAACAACAAGAAATTCCCAATTATTAGTTCCTCGGACTTCTCAAATTCATTGCAATTGTATGGTAACATGTAACTAAATGGTTTGATTTTCACTATTCTGGTATTGTGATAACAGTCCTACACATTATAATGTCCAAATGAAGCTGTGGTTCAAACCGGGTGTTTCCAATTTTGGAGACAGTATCCAATTTGAGGGGTCACAATGCATTACAGTTAAATAATTCAATGCTTATATATTTTGTTAGATCTTTCATTTTTGCTTGTGAACGACCACACTTTTACCCTCTTAAATTATTAAGAATATCCAAGGAAAGGGGCAATGTAAGGCGGGGTCAAAACTACATTTTGATGCTCAACAAAAGTTGTAAACCACTTGTTTTAAGTATGTATCTCAGGTCTGACATAAAAAGGGGGAAAAGTCAGAGAAATGGCCCAGAGCCAGCTCAGGAAGGAAGTCAATAATATCCAACAACAGCAGCAGGATGCAAGACATTTATCATATTCATCATTCTTACTTGAATGGAGTCGTTCGCCATGGTTGTCCCTGTTGCTCCTTTTTCAGTCAGTTTGCTGGTTCACAGTCAACCTGTGCACATGTGGGGTTTGCACTGCACGTCAAGGCACTGTCTCCTTATTCCCAAAGACTATTTAATACAATTAATGATCCAGATATGTCTCCCTGTGAGGCTTATCTCAACTTCACGCAGTCTGTCTTGACACAAAGGCAAATAGTCAAGAGGGTAATCCGCATTGTTGGCTCTCCTGGCCGCGCCTGAACTGATCCACCCTGCGCGTTTTTAATGTGTTTAACCAGCTTCAGCCACAGAATGAAGATGCGTTCACGGTCCGCACGAAAAAAATGTTGCGCTCTAAGTCATTGTTCGTTTAATTGGACAGCCGTTCAACAACTAGCATGAGCCCCTTAAAATCCACAGGCAGGGCTGCTCCGTCATGTCGTCATGAACCCGGGTCACATCCACACGCAGGACGAGACGAAAGAAAGCCTCTTCTTCTTCGTCCTCTTTTCCTCCTTTCTTTTTCCCGGTAACGTCCGTGAGACATGAACACGCCTCAGCCTCTTGTCTGTATCACATGCCACACACACTCTCTCTCACACACACACACACACACACACACACACACACACACACACACACACACAAAAAGCCGCCTGTCAGTCCTTCACACCGCTAGCTGAGGTCCAAACACACAAAAGACCCCCGCTCGTCGTTCCGGTACCGGGTCTGCAGCTCATCACATTCAAACAGTAAACTAACTGACGGCGCAGCTACACTCTGCCCATGCGCGCTCCCGACGCCCGGCCGTTCATTGGTCCAGGGTGGCGAGAGCGCGCCCGGATGTGTCACATGACCCCCCACCAGCTTACGTTGCCTGTGCTGTTACTTTTAATGAACCACCTGTTGATACGTAAACGCAACAGGAGGAGGGAGACAGCTAAACTTGTTAAAGTAATTAAACCGAATTAAACTTTCTGAGTAAAAGTTTTAAAGTACCGTAATGTCCCGGATGTAAGACCAACACACTATTTTCAGTCACATTTCATCGTGTTGTATTCAAACCATTACGGTAATTTCATTTAAAATGAAATTCAAGATGCTTTATTGGCATGAATGTAATAAAAACAACATCACCAAAGCATTTTTTTTAACAACAAAAACAGCAGCACGAGTGATAATCAAAAGAAGAGTCATGATAATATTATTATTACATGTTACACTTTATGTGCACTGTGTGTATGTCTGTGTTACACAGAATATTATGGACTACACTTTTTGTCAAAAAGCTGATCTATTTTTTATTTTTTTAAATCTATTTCTTAGTATCTATTTTTTCTACATTCTTAATTTTTCTTTTTTTATCTAAATTGTACTGCTCTTTTTTCTTGGCTCTTTGCTGCTGTAACAATGTAAATTTCTCCACTGTGGGATAAATAAAGGATTATCTTATCTTATTAATTCATAGTGTCATGATAATAATAGTAATATAAGTAAAATAAAATAGTAATAATTCAAATTAATAATGTAAATAATATTCCGGTAATACAAAACAACAACTGGTAAACATTTGGGTGGGACAGATGTCATTATCTTTTCTAATTTTGAGTTTATTAGACCGTTAGATGTTTTATATCATGTAAACATGTGTTTGTGTGTGTAAATTGGCGTTGATAAAAGGTACTGATACCGATCATCCATATTATATATAGGTAGCCTTTTAAAAACATACTCCGATGAGGTTAAACTCTCTCAACAAAGAGGCTGTCTCATGATAAGGTACATGATGATATGGTCTGTTGTAGATCTGATGTGACGTTAAACTGAGTCATGCATATCTGATTTGCATGATGAAAATGAGCCAGCAGAAAGATAGGAGCAGAGAGTCACACGCACGGCTCCGGCATAAACACGACTACACACACACATGAAAATCTGCACAAAGAATCCCAGCTGATGACAGAAGTCAGACCTGAGTATGAACCAACTGTAGAGACGATAAAACAGTGTGAATAAAACCAATGAACCCTCAAGTATTTCATCAGTTTGTAGATGTGTTGAAATGATAATCCTGATTCATGAAAAGTCTGTGTAGGTTCTCAGTCATCCAGGTCATGCTGATTAATTCATGAATTCATTAAACTTGATCCAAAGGCGGTTTATCTTCAACCGAGTCCAGTTGCCTTTGGATCAAGCTTCGAATGTATCTTACACTTTGAACTTAGAATTGTCATTTTTGTGTCTGAAATCTTAGTTTTAATTGTATAAATTCATTTTTATGTTCTTATATACCTTTTATTGTGTTGTCTTGTTTCCCACAAGTTATGGTAGACAGAGACGAGACCAAGTCTGACCGCCTGTCAGTGCTGGTCTTGATTTAAAATCTGCCCAGGCCTGAGACCAAGAAAAGACAGAATACACTAAGTAAAGATAGTAAGTGAACTCACAGTATAAACGTTTTGAGTGTGAGCTAGTACACGCAAGAGGTAGAGAACGAGCAGGGAGACAGGGAGGCGTCTGATTGGTTCATCAGATTGGTACCTCATGGCAGACATTGGTCAAAGTTTTTACAGACTGCTACAGATGATGGATTTTCTTTGTTCCTTTTTCAGAGCACATGAGTTATTATTCTATTATTGTATTTTTTCGGACTTTATTTAACTGATGTACATATGTTTATTTTTATTTTTATTTTTAATAATTTTATTCCTGCTTCCTGTTTTCTTGAGCTGCTGTAATGCAAAAATTTCCCCCATGGGGGATCAATAAAGTTTACCTTTATCTTTATATTTATTCATTTCTGTCAGGACCTAAAGACAATTTAAACCAAAATCTTGAAAAGTGTATCTGGAGAAAATGACCAACCCCGCCTTTAAATCAAGACCGGAAGGGCTGCTCTCATCTCTCACAAATTATTATTATTAATACTAATAATAATAAATAGTAAAAAAAAAAAGATAATTTTGCATGTTTCCTAAAGAATATGTGCGTGTTTTAGTACTTCAGGTCCTAAAAAAATACAAATATAAAATAATAAATCGTTATTTGTTGTTGTTTTTCCGTGTTGAACTTTGACACCTGAACGCCTCACACCAGCGAGCGACCGTTGACGACAGGAAGTCCAAATTAGCTATTTTCGTTATTTAAACGATTATAATACAATAATAATGTTGTTATATTAACTGTTTTGTTGGAAACACTCGATACAAATCGTAAGTAGCCGTAGGAATCAGGTTTCTCAGGTTGATTTCTTGGCTAAATCTTCGATGCTAACGTTAAAGCTAGCGCGATGCTAACTTTAACGGATAAACAAACGGTCGGTTTTCGGGTCATTGCGTGTTTAAAAGCTCCTAAATAACCCGGTTAGTGAAGAGTTTAACTTTCCACAGGTGACTAAGCTTTCCCACAGACGGAAGTATGACCGATATTGAAGTTCAGGTTGATGTCCAGCTCACCTCAAACTCAGCGGTAGATGACCGTAAGTCTGCGGGCCTGAGGGACGTTATGAGCGGGGAGGAGAGTCTGCGACACGCCGGTCAAGGTGCTCCAATATGGAGCCTTGAATGCTTTTTAAAACTGTATTTAGCCACATGTAATGTAATATCTTTAACTAAGACATCTGATCACCCCACACGTCTGTTGATTTGGTATATTTGTGTGTTTTTGTCATAAAGGGGGATAATGAACTTTTCACGGTTTTGCTCTTCAGAGATGAAGGAGACGCTGCTGCTGTTGGCCGACGTCGCTCTGCTGCCCCCCTGTGGCGATGACGCGTCCTGCAGCTGTGTGGAGGTCAGACAGCTGGAGAGGGGCCTGCAGTCCATGCAGCTGCAGCTCCAGTTCCTCTTGGGCAAAGCTGATTACTTAGACGACCTCCTCATCAACAGGTACAGAGCCGGAGACTCAATATGCACCAATGTTACCTGAAGTGTTCTTACTTTAGGATCCTTTTTTTTATATTTCAATCTTTTTGAAGAATATCAGGGATGTAACGATTCACTCAACTCATGATACGATTATCTTACACTTTATTTAACAAAACGAGACTGTAGACAAATGATGACTGAAAAAGATTCCTTTAGGGCAGGGGTGTCCAAAGTGCGGCCAGAGGGCCATTTGCGGCCCTTGAGAGGATTTTTTGCGGCCCGTGACTTCAAATGAAGAATCAGAAGATTTTGGCCCGAGGCCTCGATTAAGATTGGCACATTATCTTATTTTTCTTTTTCATGTTAACAAGGGCTAAACAATAGTCCTAAAATAGAGAATGTTCAGTAACATGTATGTTGTTGTTGTTTTTTTAAATCTACAGCTTTTACTATTTTCCACATTTTTTTGTAAATTATGAAAAAAAACATATGCAAAGTTTTTGCAAACAAGCGGACTGTTGTTTAACCATTTAATGACCTGAGCTGAATAAACCACGTTACAGGCTTGATTCTGAGAAAAAAACAAATAAAGTAGAACGGAGAAATCTAAATATTTGATTTCCTTTATTAAAGGGTTTCTTTAGCGAGCCTTTTGATTCTGATCTACAAAGCTTTACTATTTTTTCAACTATATTTTAAAAAACAAAACCTGTGGCCCGCGAGCGATTCTAACACGACAATTTTGGCCCGCAAGAAAAAAAGTTTGGACACCTCTGCTTTAGGGGCTGCTAACCCGATTGTCAGTGTGTTTTTTTCTCTCAACAAGTGGAGGTGATTGGAGCTTCTCGTCGTGGTGCTGATTAAATGCTGCATCATGTTGGTTGTTCTATTTGTGTAGTTCTCTGTCTTGTAATATTTGCACACAGTTTCTGTCTGTTATCTTCTCACCTCTTTCATTTTCTGTCTCGGGGAAGCCAAAATTCTTCCACACCGCACGTCCTCAATTTCTAAATCCTGCTCTGCAGCTGCCAACCGCCTCTGCTCTACAGCTGCTGGTGCTCACCGTGTTATTGAGCTTCATTTTTCAGAGTATCGATGTGAATCTTGACACCTTTGAATCGATTTATCTTGATTTTGCGATTCATCTCTACATCCCTACGTTGAATACAAATGTCTTACAAACCCACATGTTGTTTTTCCTGCGTGTGATTTTACAGACAATGTGATCCAGAAAGTCAGAGCCCCACTGAAGAAGTCCAAAGATTTCTGTTCACCTGTCAGCCGTACTTTAACTACGTGGAATCCATGGCGAGGAAGAATGCGTCGCCCCACACTTCTCTGCCCTTTGAGATCCACACCAGGGTAAATATTTTTCACCCATTTTTTTAAAAAGACGATGGCTGTGTCAGAAATACTTTTTGTAGTGGTGTCTGAATTTCTGAGTGAGCATTGTCGTACCCTATATAGACAACTCAATGTATCCCACAATGCATTGTGACAAGTAGTGTACAACTGATGGCCACTGTCCAAGCAATATATACCATCATGCATTGCGGTTAAAAGATTTTGCGAGCAGAACGTGCTGTTTGACTTCGTGTGTGTGTGTGTGTGTGTGTGTGTGTGTGTGTGTGTGTGTGTGTGTGTGTGTGTGTGTGTGTGTGTGTGTGTGTGTGTGTGTGTGTGTGTGTGTGTGTGTGTGTGTGTGTGTGTGTGTGTGTGTGTGTGTGTGTGTGTGCAGCTGTTGGACTTCTCTCAGCAGCTGTGTGACAGGTTGGAGCAGCTGGTGTTGACCTGCGCCAGCTACAATCTCATCTGTTTTGACGACGCAGAGTCTAACAGGTACTCACACACAAACACACTCTGAGGAAATACACACGTTACACACATATTTACAGAATACTTCTAAAAAGTGTCCAGAAAAT